AATATTTTACATGATTGTTAATATAAAACAGATAAGCTTCTACTTCCTTTATGACACATTAAATGTTTAACTTATAATGATGAATATCACATTAAAATAACCTTTAGTTCTCAAGTACTAATGCTGCAGATTTATATTATCTAGTAGAATTATAACTTATTTGTGCTAATCTGCCCTAAAAAAAAGGAACTCTTCGAGTACATCAAGCTTTACAGTAGTTGTTGAGGTAACGGTGAAGGCCTGTTGGAATGCTACATGTTTTTAACTTTGTGTTTATTTAAACCTGCCCAAATCTGCACATATGTTAAAAAATCCTTAGCTTTGTGGTATTTTAAAGATCCTGATCTGTAGTTATTGATTTTATTCAAACTATGTTTGTGGATCTCAGAAAAAAAACACCACTGATGCAATTCAAATATAACACTAAAATACTTTGTTTAATACCCAGATTAATTTAAGACGGGACAGACCATCCTCTTGAATTTTATAATCCTCAGTAGCAGCATCATTACAGTATTACACCAATAAGTTGGATGATGTTGACCTGAGAAATGCGTAGTTCTTAAATTAGCTCAATCACGTTGGTCAGTTAAAATGTTTATATTTTCAAATAAATGAAAATATAGAAATTTTTGGAAATGTCGACTAAAAAAAAAAAAAAGCAGTTATACATTAGACATCTTTTTCGTTCTTGCCCAAATAAATTATATGCAAATCTCTTGATGGAGTAAAATATCAATGTTTTCTTCCTTGTGGTACAGTCACTCTATTGCTATGTTACCATATCATACAGTAGCTCTCTCTCTGTAAACTGGACACATCGATTGCTCCCATTATTGCATTTTAGGGGCTGATATAATCAGTTTGCAGTGAGTTGTGGTTCAATAACTTGCCACAGGTCTCTGTGTGATGTGGCCAGCTATTCATTAAATGGTTAAACGTGACACTTATAGAGGCTCACATATGGAACTCAGAAGCTATATAATATAATACTCTATATAATATAATAATCTGCTCTTTTAGTACTCGGTACATGTTATTCCTCCTGTTGATGATCTTGCTGCAGGGATCTAATGTGAGAACATAGTACACAGTATTGCAGATATTTTAAAAATAGTGTTTGTCCTGAAGGGATGGTGGTTAAAACACGTTCAGCACTCCAGCAATGTCACAAATAGCCTGAAAAGGAATTGAATTTAAAAAAAAAAGACTAAACGAAGCTTTTTGCAAGGACTCGTGTTTGATCTAAATAAAATCCAGACTGAAAGTAGGTCAGCGCTGAGGGAACTGGTGTGAGCCTGAGAGCACCGTGTCTGCGAAACCCGCCCACCCCCATCCTTCCCGCTGCCATGCTCTCATCCTTTCAAACACCCCTTTTCATTTAATTCTGAAATATCTGACCTTTTGATCCCAACAGGTAATATTCACACATCTTCTTTTTTTTTTTTTTTAAACAGCCTTCTTCAAAATTGGAAATAATAAATGAATAAATATAGATATATTTTGGCTTACTATTTTGGTTAATTTTTTTTGCAAACCCATTCTTTTGCTCTAGAGCCTGAATCCCTGTCCCTGGCAACCTACGCAGGGGGATTATGTGGCTGGCATCATCTAAATACAAAAACCAATCACGCAGATACGTTAAGCAGCTCTTAAGGTTATTACCTTGCTTTCAGTCATCTAGGGTGAATTGCAGTACTATAAAGGTCCACTCCCTCTGATTTTTAGCAGGATAGTAATAAAACTTATATAGAAAAATAAACAGGGGTATATTGATATATCCGTCCTATATTAGGTCTATTGGGAAGATCAAAACAAAAAAAAAACTGATTTTCTCTTGAAAATTTCTAATTAAGTCATATAAAATAAAAATAAATTTTTTTGTCTTATCACAGTGAGGAAAGCACAAACTGCGTAGTTTATCTTTGGTAAAAAAAAAAACAAAAAAACCATCCTCTTCATCCGTGATGAGTATGCCTTTGAAAACACAGAGGACAGATTTAGGTGCCAAATACAGAACTGTTAGCAGCTAATAATCAGCTAGCTTTAGTATTCTTTGTTCACAATGCTATTTAATTTCCAGCCCGTTACCCTCCTGCCTTCTTTTTATAACATGTCTCTAAAATTTTGTGAAAATGTAAAGTTCTTCAGAACTTACAGAACAAACTTGTCCAACTAAATACAAAAATGTTTGTGGTTGTCAGGTTTAAAGTACTCACCTCAATAGGCTTATTTTCTCAGACAAAGCAATGTTCTGACAGCCACTGGAGAGTGCTTTTTGCAGTATTATTCAATTTTAATATTGCAATACTGTCTGCGATGAGATCTTCCTAAGTGCTTATAAATAAAGAAATAGCTGTTTGTGACTAGCTAAATACACTCTGGTGTTATATTCCTAGTTTTCTTAAGGAGTAGTAGTTTAATATCAAGTAATTTGTTGAACATTATATTGTTAACGTGCCTACATCTGAAAATAATGTGAAAATAATAGTTGCACCATATGTACATTACTTACTATGCATCAAGTTTAAAAGACAAAGAAAACTAATGGAAAGTGAAATAATCTATCTAGTGAAAAAGAAACAGCTGCTTCTGTTTTGCAGCTTGTGTTGCAGATATGTAATCAAATTTTACTACTCCAGGGGAATTGTTTAATAACCCATACTTTAACTCTTATTAAATGCATCTGATTTAATCAGATTAGGGCTCCACTTGAGGAGTTCTGAATAGAGCATAATGAGTTTTTTATCAAGTTTTTCTTTTTTATTTAAATGCAAAACATTTACATATGTTTTTATAATTTTGATATAATTACTTAATATTACAAGTATAACTTATAATTAAAGTGGGTTACTCTGTCAGCTAAAGGCATGTTTTACAAGCTCTATTGTCCAATTAATGGTTAATCGATTACTACATTAATTGACCATTATTTCAATAATTGATTAATCACATTGATTCTTTCAGCCCTAAATCAGAAGCATACAATCTAAACAATAGAAACATTTTAGGATGAGTCAGCTAAGTGGACTAAGGCTTCATTCTAAAATGTATTAATGTAGTTATGCTTATTTTTTTCTCTGTGATTGCTCACAAGATAGATTAACACGCTGTATAACCTTTATGTGACCAAGAAAAGATTGTAATAGTTTATGAGGGGTGCATCGATTACACGTTTCTGGCAGATCACGGATTCCCATCTTTAAAAAGGCTGACATGCTGATCCCAATTTTGACCCTTATAGATTCATTTCTCTAATTGTCAGTTGTTATAAGATCACAGGACACAAGATATTTCAATACTATCTTAGTGAAAAAATATGAATCACTGCCTGCAAAACATTGAAACTTCTGAAATAACTGCTCTCAATTTCAAGGAATTGACAGTGGGTGTTTTTGAAACCTTTGCAGAGATAGATAAGGTTGATGAAGAAAATCAGTTTCACATCTTAGTATTGGCTGATCAGTGATCTTCCAAATTTAGAAAATGGAGACCGAGCAATCAGACAAAGATTACATGGAAAAACTGTTTTATGCAACTGCAGAGATACAACGCAATTAATTGAGGGGTCTCTCTATAGTAACCGAATGCTGTTAGCCACTTTGTGTCTTATTTTTTAACTGAATGTCATAAAACCACACTGCAGCTGAAAAATTTCTACTTTGCTCTATGAAATTAAAGAAAATATAAAAATGGGTGCCAAGCTAAAAGCACTTAGCCTCACACCCGCAACTATACAATATATCCACTTGGACCAAAACAAGGACAGCCAAATATTTCAGCCTGTTGTGCATGTGTCGGGATGTGTAGAAATTTGTAGCTGGACCCAAAATGCAGAGGCGGAGGCAAAGATAGTTTCTGGTGGGTTTAATGTTGAACGCAGTTGTATTAAGACGACTAACAGGACAAATATTGGAGTAGGGATCTGTGTGGGAACAGGTGTGCAGAGAAAGAACTAGAAAAAATCCAATGGGAAGGAAGGGGACACTAGGGGGCAATGGAGAGCAACTGGAAAATAAAACCTAAAGATAACTGTAGACAATAAATGACAAAATAAAACTAGAATAAAGACTAAGGAATGTTGAACAGGAGATAATAAAAAAAAAACACCAACAGGAACAGTAAGACCAAGAAGTAATTCAGAAGTAAAAACAAAATAAGATAAATCCAAGCGAAACTGAAAACCCAATGTGAAAACTAAACAGAACAAATGCATCCCAGAATGGGATGCAACATTAATTTATTTGTTAACTGTTGCTGACAGTTGCTACTACAGTGATATTTGACCAAAATTGAGATGTATCATGAAAAAAACATGAAACGTGGAAAATAGTGATATTTTACCAAAATTAAGATTTATTATGAAAAACACTTAAATAACTTCAATTTGTAATGTTTTCAAAGAAGTACAGAATAACAACTGATTACTCAGTAATCTATTAGATAACTGACACAACAACCATATTAAACTAAATTTAGAACAAGCCTATTAGCTTTAAGACATGTTTAAAAAAAATTCAGCTCTGTCTTTTTAGATCGTTGCATGTAAAACTGCAATATTTCTTAACTAAATTTCTTAGCTGTTTCTATTATTTGATTATTTTTGTATTGTTCATTTTTTGTTCTTTTGATATAGTTTTGTTCTTTACCTTAGGCATCAAATATATAAAGTTGACATATTTTATGAACCAAGAGCTTTTAAGAATATTTAAATAAATTGTAGCTTGTTTTGCTAATGATCGATTATTATTTAAACAAGTTGTTTGTCTTATGATCAATGTCTTTATTATTCTCATAAAAATATCTTTTTAAGATATAGTTCATACTTCTTAAAGTTTGCTTGTAGATACTTTAATTAATGAGTAAATGAGATTACTTGTATTGCAAAATGTTTCTTGAACTTTTACACACTCCATTTAAGATAAAATAAACTTAAAATCTAAATAAATGCCTAGCTTAGATTAGTGATGATACTATTTAACATGTATTATGTCTTTTAGATGGAGAGGGGGGTGGAGAACTCTCACCCCCAGTGGGTGCTGGAGTCAACAGCAATAGCTGGCACTTCCGATATGGCGCCGGACAAGGCTACATCCCTCCTCAACCCCTGAAACCTGGGGAGATTCCCCCTGAAGCCTTTATCATCCCCGGATCTCCAGCCATCATTTCCATCCGCCATGACCCAGGCCCTGTGGATGACAAAGGTGACTTCATTAGCTTCGGCAAGAAGGATGAGGCTAAGAAGAAGAAAAAAAAGAAGAAAGACAAGAAGGACAAAAAAGATAAGGGAAAGGATGACAGTGGCGATGATTAGGGGGAAAAGTAGGTGACCAAAAAGCAGAGCTACTACATACTGTAATCTATCGTCCCAGTTCCAGAGCCAGAAAAATAAACCAAATGCACAATGTAACCAGGGGAACCATGTTTGCATAGACTTTGTACAGTGGCCAGAAGCTCATTTGATCTGCTTTGGCTCCCATATTACCCGAACTACAAATATTCTTAATCCAAAGACTGGACCAAATTCAAACAAAAAAAAAAACAGTTGATTTGTTAGATCAGCCTTCCTGTGATTTACCATCCAGTCCCCCAAACTGTTATCTGCTTTGTACATTGACAACAGAAATGCACCATAGACGGTGCTCTATTTGTATCTGACAGCTGTCAGCTGAAGCTGCTGGTGTCAACATATCTGGCACCCTTTCATTTATCGCCAAGCCAATGTGAAGTCAAAGCCACAATGAAATAAAGCAAATGAAATGGAAGCTTTCATCTTCAGTATTTCAGAGGGCTTTTAGTAATTCAAAAGTCTTTTGTAAAAAAGGGAAAAAAGAAAAAAGTTCAAATATTTCCTATATAGTTACCAGGAGATAAGCACCTTTAAGAGGATGAGGTGGCTGAGAGAAGTTGGAGCACGCTCTAACAGAGCTGTATCGTAATGAAGCCGCATACTGGATGGACTAAAGACCTGCACTGGGTTGCACTAACTATACAGCAAGTTTGTCCCCAGATTAGTTTACAAGCAAGTGGCTTCATAACTGCTAGTCCATTTGAAATGAGGGAGTTACTGAAATTGATTGTACAGAGTTAGTTACAGAGTACTCTCTCAGCAATTTCAATATGTTGCTGATTGATAAACATGGAGTTTTGATTAAAGTAAAGGTAAAATAGTATAATGGTTAGAATATAATACAAATGTTTTTGTCCATTCTCTGCCATTAACTCTTTGCTATAAAAAAATTTCTAAAGCTGTTGTAATTTTTGTTTTGCTTTATTGACATTCATTTTGGACTGTTCTATAACATGCAAACATGCTGAAACTCAAGAACCCTGAGAGTGAGTACAGCCTTTGCTGTAGCTTTACTCTCTTACTGCCTTACATTTATTTATGATTATATTTTTCTTCCTATCAAGTATATGCTAAATTAATGTGAGTTTTCTCATCTGAATACAGGGCAATCTCTAATTCTGATATTTAGTTTGTAAATTAATGAAATCAGTCATAAATACAGAAAGTTTAGATTGCTTTATTCCAGCTAAAATCTCCTAATGACATCAGTGAACATTAAAATAGGCAATCAGTATTGATAGGATATATATAATATTGTGGCTGCATAAGTACTAGAATTGGTTTGATGTCAATTTATAAGTAGCGATCAAAATGTTGTTGTTTTTTTCGTATTACTTTTAAGCCCTTTGTGTAGATTTCACCAATTGAAATATGAACATGACAGGTTAGATCAAATATCTTAAGCTAATCTGAACCCAAACATAAATTTTTAAATGCAGCATCTCAAGTAAATTTGTAAATGAGAATAATCTGCCGGACAAAAACACAAAAAAACAACAAGATAGAAATGTTGATGTTTAACTGGTTGGTTTGTGTTACATAATGTGTAGAAAATGGACAGAAACATAAAAACACACAGTTTAGGGTCTTTGCTTTGCCGCTAATGCAAAAATTTGCTGTTTGCAAACAAAAAAGGGGATAAAAATTGCTAATTTGTTGGTAGTGAGTGCAGTTTTGTGATTATGTATCATTTGCACTTGCTTTATTGCTTGCCTACTTATATAGTTGTTCCATAAGGTTACGTTCAAACTGATTTTTGTAGTGTTGCTTGTCAAGCAAGAACTGGAAATAAATAGGGAGCCTTCATGCAGCTGATGAATGCAGCAGCTAAACCTTCCTCTTAATATATGAGACGGTTCAATATGGTATATACCAGACACTCAAATACAGACTTGTTGCCTCACACCCGCAGATAAAAATAATTTGAAAACACACAGACTGTCTATTTACTAGGAAAAAGGAAAAATAAAACTTAAACCAAGAATCCTCCCTCCACTCTGGAAACTGAAAAACTGAAGGTCAGTACTTAATAGTAGAGTGTATTATATGCCTCAGAAGCAGGAACGTTGCTTGTCGCTTCATTTCTGTTCAAGCCCCTTTCCCTCCGCTTCTGTCTTTGAATGTTAAGTAGTTGTTCTTCAAGCTCTGCACCACTGCCTCATCTGCTTCAGTGCTTGTAGGATTTGCTTGCCCCTGCTGCCTGTTTCCTCCCTTTACTCCTCAGATCTACATGGTTCGACGGCATCCTTCCAGTCACTCTCCTTCAGTGAACTGTGCAGTTGTAACAGAGTATAACATTTGTGTATATTCATATATCCACACATGGCAACACAGGCTAAAATGCACCACACTCAATTTACCCCTTTCCTTGGGTTCAGCTTTGGCTTGAACCAAGCCCAGGTGCTTCTGCCAGCGAGACCCACCTTCTGACTACTCTTTGTTGACAGCTCTGTCTCCTCTTGTATGGACTGTGCACTTGGCATGGTGAAGACGCCTGACAGGTGAGCAGAAAGTGCTCTACTGGATAGGCAAAAAAGAGAAGTCAGAGAGGAGTGAAAAATGTTGGTCCAGTGCAGAAGACAGAGACATTACTGGGTAACTTGACTGCCTTTTGCTTGAGGAGAGACATTGGAGTTCCTCATTCTGAACGGATCATCTTGGGTTGAATGAACTCAATCATAAAGGGGTTGAAGCACAGTTTATTGCTAATGGAAACGGCCTAAGGTTTTAATACTAATAGGGTGAGTGGTAAGAATAAATGGTGGTGAAATGCTTTTGTTGTGCTATAATTGGTAGTCATTTGGGGAAAAAAAGGATACCAGTCTGGTATAATTTCTACTGTTATTGTTACTGCTTTATTGCTTCGCTGAAACAAAGTAGCCTGGAAGTGCCATGTCAAGCATTAAACCTGAGTGGGGATCAAAATGTGAACCACTGTTTACCAGACAGACTGTTCATAGCAGCGGGTATCAAAACAACACGATTAAAAGCGCCAGAAAATTTCACCTCAGTGTTCCTTTCTTTAGACCATTGTATTGCAAATCACCTTTGGGGTACATATGTAGGTGGTGCTCTACAGCCCGGGCCCTACCATCTCCCTGAACTTTCTGCAGACATACTTCTGTGCTGTCAGATCACCAAGTGACTGTTTGCATGTTGTAAGCAAAGGAACAGATTCTATATAGATACTATATATACATAGATATGTTTTTTCTGCAATGTTTATTGGAATACATATAGATCCAACCCAAGAAATACATGTTGAAAGACTTGCCTTCATCTATCCAGGTAAACGGACATCTGATCCATGAAGACACTATTGCAAACAGAAAATTGTGGAAAAGCCTAAAAGAATCACATTTTTATCCTGCTGAAAACTACTTCAATCATCTAGACATAAGCAATGCTGTTGTATTCTACTATGAAAGGCCTTTTTTCATGTTTTTATCCATATGATTTTCATGGCTAAGAAAATCAGTCCTTAAACCTCTGTTGAGCTTTGTAAAGATCAAACACTTATGTGAAATAAAACCATTTATTCATCTTGCATATATGTCTGTTGCCCTGTAGAAAAAATAAGAAAAAAAAAAAAAAAATGTATAAAAAACATTAAATGTTAAAAAAAAAACATAGTAGTAAAGTTGATGTAATCTCTGCTTGTGTATAGTGAACGTTCCTCAGTCGCTGGGTGCGTGAGCTGTGACTGGCTCAAACCGGTCCACTGTGTCTGTGCAGATCTGTTCATGACTTTTTTGTACACCTGATAATCATTGTTGCAGTGATAATAGTGGTTCTTATTATTTCATCAACCTGGTAATGTGTTTTATTAAGAAGTCACAAATAAAGTTTTTTTCTTAAATATCTTAAAAGTGGTTTTCCTGTTTTTTAATCTGTGACAGTCTTAATTGCTTTACTAAAACCAGTCCAAAACTGGCTGCATGGTGGCACAGTTTTGTAGCACTGTTGCCTTACAGGAAGAATGTTTTGGGTTTGAATGCTTACTGAATTTGCATGTGTCGGTTTTCCCAATCAAAGGCATTACTATAATGTTAATTTGTGACTTAAAATGGATAGAAATACAAATTTGTGTGCGTGTCTTTACTTGTTTATGTTACCTGTATAGGACCATTTTTGCTATATTTACAAACCCTCTACGAACCAACAGGCCTTATGGGGACAGAACTGGTCCTAACGTGGCAGACCCCAATTTCTAACCTTAGAGGGATAGTTTAAAGGTATGGTGTAAATAAGCTTTAGGTTAAAGTTAGGAATATACTGATAATGGTTGGGTTAATGCCATGTTATGCGTAAATGCAGTAACTAAAAAGAATGTAAGTCAATGTTAGGTCTTAATATGGATAGAAATAAAGACGTGTGTATTGCATAGGTGTGTTTGGCCATGTTTTTATTACCTCATGGGGACAGTTCCAAAGAATATGCCACATTTTGGGGAATTATACAGTAGGTACTCGTGGGGACCGACAAGGAAAGGTTCTCTTCATAGGGTGAGGATTAGGTTTAGGACTAAGTTACAAATTGAGTAGGTTGGTGTAAGGGTCAGGGTTAGCCATGTCTAGGTTATGGTTAGGGTCGGGCATATGTGGGTTATGGTTATGGTAAGGGTTAGGGTTAGGCATGTGTGGTTTATGGTTAGGGTTAGACCATAGAAATGAGTTCCCACAAGAATAGTTTGACAAAACATGTGTGTTTGTGTGTGTGTGTGTGTGTGATGGAATCTCAACCTGTCCAGGGCATACTCTGCCTTTCACCAACAGACACCTGGAGATTGCCACTTCCCCCTGGGACTCTGTGATAAAAATGGAAACTAGCACAGCATTATGTTGTGTATTTATATTCAATGCCAATCCAGGTTGGATGCCATATTTATGTTGGGAATAGCTGGGAATTGAATATATATTTATATATATATATATATATATATATATATATATATATATATATATATATATATTATATATATATATTTCTGATACTTTAAGACGTCTATTGCCCTCCCCGGTAGGGGTGGCAAATATCTTATTTAAACAGATATTATTTTGGCTGTTAGATGTTATTTATGAACACACACCCTACTAGCTGTGTGTTAGAACATTAGATGAAAGAGTGATTTAAGTTTAAGGTTGTGGTCAAACAGTTAATTCTGCACATACATGGAAGAAATTCTCAGAACTTC